TTGAAAAGGTCATAATATCAGTGATGTGCCACTGACCTCCAAAACTGCATACTTCAATAGATGCAAACATGGTATCATAGCCCACCCAAGCACCTTCCTAATGTTAATACAAATCACTAGGAATGTAATCATTGGCCCTCAAGTTAGGGGCTGAAAACAAGAACACAAAGACAATCTGCTGGTGGCCATTCAATAGACAAGATGGTCTTCTTTCAAGGTCAAGGTTGCACCAGACTCATTTGGTGGTGTTAATTCAGCAACATTGTTTTCTAGGCAAGGTCTTCTGTACAAAACAGCATAAAGTGTCTAGAAGTGTTAAAGTAATTATGATGGAAGAAATCTTTCAGTAAGTACAGGAAAGGCTACATAGCATTCTCCATACTTCCTGACCTCATTGCCATTGCATGAAATATGAAACAATGAAGTTGTAGGGCTTTAGCAGAAGAAACCAGAAATTGATCCATAGGTGGCATGCTCACTGAGGCTACACAAAACTCTTACAAAAAAGTTATGGGGAGCTTTGCCATAGACAATTGCTGAGAAGATTCCTTCAATTTGTTCTATTTCTTTTTTCCTTTCCTTTTTCTCTCTTGGTGAAGTAAAGCCTAAACATGCACCCAGAACAAAATATTGGTAGTCCTTGACTTGCTACCAAAGAATTTCCATTGCCAAACAAGCCAGTTGTTAAGTGAGCCATGCCCAGTTTTACAACCATTTTTGCCACTCTGTTAAGTGAATCACACAGTCATTAAGGGTCTCCAGCTTGCTCCATTGGCTTTGCATAGGGGAAGACAGCTGGGAAAGTCACAAATGATGATTACATGAACGCAGGATGCTGCAACCATCATAGATACATGCTGGTGCCGCCAACTGCCCAAAGTTTGATTCTGTGACTGAAGGGAGGCTGCGATGGTTGTAACTGTGAGGACCAGCCATAAGCCACAGTTTTCAGTGCCATTGTAACTTCAAATAGTTGCTAAACAAATGCTTGCAAGTCAATGACTACTTGTACATTGCTACCGGTTGATTTCAGAAGACTGCAATATATGGCAGAGACGTAACGTATCTTCTATGTTGCAAGGGGCGAGGCAGGAAAACCCCACGGACACTAATCTATCTTGTTCTTCCTGCTGTTGCATGGTTCAGAATAATCCCCTCCCCCATTCTGCTTCCCATTTTAGGGATGTCTTTAACGTCTAACCTGCTTTCCTCTTTTATCCATCACAGATATTCATATTTGGTTTCTTGGGCTATGCTTCCTACTCTATTCCTTTAAACTCTTGTGTTTTGGAGGGAGCTAATGAATGATGGCTATTCAATTGTTGAGAGCAGTTCTACCTTTTAAAATATAACACATTTTAACTACAACATGGTAAAGTGACACACAAATGATCCAAACCCTCCTTTTTGTAACTCCCTGACTATTTCATTTTTGTAAGTTCTTAGTATGTTTTACAATTAGTTGCAAATAGTTAAAAATAACTTAATTGGAAAGGCATTAAAAGTGTTCCTCAATCCTTACCTTATTGTCGCAGACATAATGCATGGTCCAGCACTGCAATTACAGGAAGCGCTGTCATGATTAATGCCCAGATTATGACCCAACTCATGGGCCATTGTAGATGCCACTATGCTTGTTCTGTTGCTATGATCCTGAAGAAAAGAGAATACTTTGTTTATTGTTAGTCTGTCAAGAAACTGAAAGTGAATCCAATTATTATTAACACTAAGTGGCTAAAGTTGGTGACTAACTGATAAATGTTGAGTTGAGGATACCATCTCAGAATTCCTCTATGTATGTCCACCAAGACCCCAGAACATATACAAATACATCCAGAAGAAAACTTTGAAGTCCGGAAGCTAAAGCACAGGAGAAGATCAAAACCTATGCATCCATTTGCTATCTGCATTTATTTAGTCCGATCTAAGTATAGTACATAAAATTATATATTGCAATGTCCTCCCTCTCAATGAATTCTTCAGCTTCAATCACAACAATACAAGAGCACACAATAGATACAAACTCAAGGTAAACTGCACCAAACTTGATTGCAGAAAATACGACTTCAGCAACAGAGTGGTCAATGTCTGGAATACTCTACCTGACTCTGTGGTTTCTTCCCCAAACCCCAAAAACTTTAACCATAGACTTTCTACTATTGACTATTAACCTTTCCTAAGAGTTCTGTAGGGGGCATGTCTACCGTCCCTGTCCTATTGTTTCTTTTTTTCTTATTTGTATCCATTTCATGTATTCATAACCATGTTTATACTTATACCTGTTATCTAATAATAGCTTGACTAAATAAATAAATAAATGAACGAATAACTGAATGAATAAATAAATAAATAAATAGTTATTAAAACTTACAGGCAACTTCAGTTCAAAAATATTCAGTGGTGTTTGTACAAGTTAGCATTTTCAGAATATTGAAGGCTGAAGTCCTAAACAAACTTAAGAATGAATGTTCTTTCTGAATAAAAAATGGCCTTTTTAAGCAAAGAGGCTTAGGATTACTTTATATTATCCACATCCTAATTCTGCTTATTAAGAAACAAAACTTTATGAGTTTTGTCGTATAAGTTTTTTTATTGCTGTGTCTCTCCATTTTTTCTATGTGAATAATAAACTAAGTTTACCGTTTCTCAATAAATGCATAGCATCATTTTAACTAATATGGTTTTCTTGCAGGATCTTAAAATATTGGAGTTTTTTTTCTTTTGAAGTAGATTTAGCATTCTCTCATTTTCTCAATGCACATTAATTCAATCATATGCAATCTAGATCCTAAATTTCTTGGAAGAAAAAAAGGGTGATTCATGTTTGTCATTAGGATTGCTAAGAATACTGTTCAGGAGTATTATTTGGGAGTATTGTAATATGATTTGACCTGCTCATTTGCCAATTAGAGCACAGTTTGACTCCTCCTAATCAAGAAACATTGTAATATGTTGTCAACTTCTGATATATAGCTCATTGCATACAAGAAGTTCGATCTACAACATGTCTAGAATACATTGTGCCAAAGTGCCATCAATTGAGGCAGGACCTAGAGATGTCAAATCCACAAATAAATATGGATGAAAATGACATGGATCAAAAATAAGAAGACACTTTATTTTTAAAGAAGTTATGACTATATAAGTTTTGATTTGAGTACAAATAGGTAACAGGTATCCTTTCTACTAACCTCAATAACTGCTACAGATTCCTCCGGACTGCAGAGGGTGCCCACGTAACCAAGTCCTACAGTAGTTCCGCTGAACTCAATGCCCCTATAAGAAACAAGGGGAGGGGAAATAAAATTTATAGAAGGTGAAAGCACATTATGTAGTCTTAGGTCATATATAACTCTCCATGGCTTTTTGCAAACCCATTCCTCAGTTACTACCAGTTTTCAGGATGTTAGAATTTATTTTAGATAAATAAATAAATAGGTAGCTGTCAAATATAAGTAATAAAGTAAGAATATAATTGCGCACAAATTAATACCTGTAAATAATGCACAAATTATTGTTATAAGATAAGCACTACAAATTGCTGTTGTTGAATAATATATTTTCTATGTTTTTAATTTAATAAAAAATTTTTTAAAAAAGAATTTATTTTAGGTTCTAGTTTCAGAAGCCATTTAACTAAGCAGACCTGTATTAAACATATTCAAGATGCATTTTCACGATATGGTGATTTGGCTGGTGAATTAGGTTGGGGAGAGGGATTAGCATATTGTCTGAATCCAGCCCATAAGGTGAATTTAAATTCCATTAACCATGAAAATCCCAAATACATATTTATTTAATAGATTTTGTCTATCAATTTAGTTGTGCAGTTATTAAAGACTAGATGGGATTGGAAAAGGAGACTGGGGGACAAATCAAATCAACATCTGTGGCAAAAATAAAATGGAATTTGTTTTTGTTTATTTTAATATTCTCCCTTGCACTTAGATCTGCCCTACATCTAGCCCCTAATATATTTCACAAGACCAA